CAGCTTTATCTTAACCTAATTTTTTTCCAAAAGTTTTGAAACACAAAGCACTTATGTACAAAATAATAATGATTTAAAATTGGAATTAATAACAATTTCAAACTAAAAGCTCAAAAATATTTTTCATTAATTCAATTTAAGAGTGGAAACATGATTTAAAATGAAATCGAAACCAAAACCATAGCTCATAAAACGTTAAATATCTTAAAAACGAATTTGTTAACAGATCTGAAATTTCGTGGCAAGCTTCTCAGTGATATGGGCCACTAGAAAATGCAAAAAAAAAAAAATATTTTCGGTAAAAATGAAATTTTTAGGGTACTGTGTTGTCTTAAATTTTTATAATTTCAAATTCATCATAAGATTATACTTTTTTAACATACAGTGGCTTAGCTCTCTATACTTTAAACATTCATAGTCAAAGAATGAAAAGCAAAATATCGATCTTATTACATGTGGATGATGACAAAATCAGTAGTTAGTGTTGCCTCCATTGTTGGTTATAACCATTGCCATACGACTCGGCATAAAATCGAAGAGCCTTTGGATGTATCCTTGGGTTACAACACTTCATGCGGCTTCCACATAGCGTCAAAGTTGATCTGGTGTAGCAGCGGGTGGTATATCTCGGGCTTGTCATTGTGCAAGTATGGACCACATTTTTCGATTGGGGAAAGATTGTGAAAGCAAGGAGGCCAGAGAATCAATTCAATCTGATGGGTAAATAAGAGAACTCTTGAACACTGCGTGAGACGTGTGGTCGCGCGTTATCCTGTCGGAATATGGCTGATGGCAAGCGCAGGCTGTATGGGAGGATAACGGTCTCCAACACCTTAGAGATGTAGCGCTGACTGTTAAGAGTACTGGCAATGCATACAAGAGGGGTGCGGCAGTAAAGTCCAATACCACCCGAAACCATGATACCGGGTGCAGGACCAGTGTGGTGATGCATAACGCAACAGTTCAGCATCCTCTCACCTCGGGATCTCCGAACTCGAATCCGACCACCTTGGTGTAGAAGGCAGTAACGGATTTAGGCAGTAAACACAATGTCGCTCCCTTCCGTTGTCCATGTCCACCGTTGATCACACCATTGGCGGTAAACGAAGCAATGGACGCCTTGCGGATATTCCACTCTGCTGCAAACGTGTCGAATGACATGAGCGGACACCGAATGATGCGTAACAGACTGAATCTGTTGTGATGTGGCTGTGTAATCCATTACTGCCAAGCACACAATCCGCCGGTCATCGAGGGGAGTGGTTCAAGGAGGTGGATGCGATCGGCCCGTCTGTCCGGCTTTTCCTCCTGCATCTAGCGATGGTAGATAAGCATCACAGTTGCTT